TGTGTCTGCGTCTGTGTCTTGCTTTCTGTCTTGCTTTGTGTCTTGCTTTCTGTCTTGCTTTGTGTCTTGCTTTCTGTCTTGCTTTCTGTCTGCGTTTCTGTCTTGTGGGCCCGTTCCGGGGCCGGGGCGCTCCTTTGCCTTCGCCAGTGGGCCGCCGGCGCCGGCACCCCCCTCCGGCCTGGCCCCGCCTCGGCCCGTGCGGAAAAAGTCCGTTTCCTTATCCACCTCCTCCTCGAGAGAACGGAGCGTGGGGTGCAGCGGCTGCGGCTGCGAAAAATCCGCGGCCGCCTGCTTGCTGTTCTTGACGGCCGCGCCGCGCGAGAGAATCCGGAAAATGTCCATGTCGGTGCTGGGCGTGGATTTGCTGGCGCTGGGCGTGGATTTGAGGGTGCTGGCAAAAGACCGGGGCATCGCAGAACCGGCCCGTCTCTCATCGCCGCGCTGCGCTGAGACGCCCGCGCGGCCTGCACCCAGCGCGCAGCACCTCTCGGGCCAAACTTTTTCGTTGAGACGCTGAAAAATTGCGCCGCCCGCATCTTCAGTTGTCTTCCAGCGCCCCGTCTTCTCCGTGAACACGCCTGCCTCTAGCACACACGCATCGCCGCCTCCTGCCTTGCCCACCACCACACGCGGGCACATCACGTTTCCGACGGCCGTACTGTACTGTGTGCCGTCTCTCACTCTCGGCCTCTCAGTCTCGGCCTCTCAGTCTCAGCCAAATCTGAGCCACTCCAGTCTCTCCCAAATCTGGCTCCCAAATCTGGCTCCCAAATCTGGCTCCCAAATCTGGCTCCCAAATCTGGCTCCCAAATCTGGCTCCCCCATATCCAACCCACTCCAGTCTCGGCCTCTCTCCGCCCACAGCATGAACAATCAATCTCGCAATCTACTCCCCCCGCTCCGCAAAACGTTCCTGCGGTCCATCTACATGCAGCCCCGCCTCGCCATCCGCAAGGACCCCGCTCGGGTGCTCGCCGTGCACTCGGGCCACACCTACGAGCCCTCCGACGCCACGTTGCTGCACATCAAAACGTTCCTCCTGGACAGGTACGCCGTGCCGGACGACTTGGCCTTGCAGGTGCTCACGCACAAGTCGTTTGCGGCCGGCATGAAGCCCTACAACGAGAAGTTGAGCACCTTGGGCTCCAAGTTGGCCAACTTGTTCTTGGGCAAGTACGTGCTCGAGCACCGCACGCACAACGACACCGCCGTCGCCGGCATGAACTTGGACGTGTTGGGCACGCCCATGGCCAAGGAGTTGGCCGGCCGCATGGCGCTCGGCGTGTTTGCCAAGAAGCGCGACTTGAGCCGCGTCATGTTCTGGAAGTCCTACAACCACCTGTTGTCGTTCGAGGCCAGCGGCGAGTTGAAGGTCAGCGCGCAGATGGTGTACGCCATGATCGGCGCCGTGGCCTTCGTGCACGGCAAGGCCGCGGCAGAGGCCTTTGTCCGCGAGAAGTTGTTGTCCGGGCCCGACTCCATCGAGCACATTGCGGCAGAGTTTCTCGCCCGCAGCTGAGCAGCCGCTGCCTGGGGCTTCCTAGGGAACGGCCGCCACCAGCTATTGGGCCTGCCGAGCGTAGATGCAGACATCCTCCCCGCATGGGGAAGGCGGGGCCTGTCGTCCCGTGGGACTTGTATATATATAACGGGGCCTGCCCCGCCGGGCCCCGCCGGGCCCCGCCGCAGCCGCTGGCTGACGATCGAATGTTCGGCCAGACGTCCATAGCATGATAATAGACGAACGTATCGCCCAGGCGCGTTTCGCTGTTGTTTTGCCTGTCCAGCGCTGGCGTGATGGCGTGCTGGCGTATATTTAAATGTATAACCTAAAAATCCAAGTCTACTCTCATCTTTTAGTCTGAGTAACTTTCTTTTCTCTTCACTTCAAGATAAACCGCTGCGTACATCATGCAATAGATAAGAATACAGATAGAATGCTGTATAAGAAAAGTAATAACTATAAAATTTATATATATAGATGTACAACTCAACGTTTTGTTATGTCCCCTTGTATAACTCATGTGAATCTATTAGCTGTTATTAGCTGCTAGATATATATATTTTAAAGCTGTATGTTTTCTTTACCTTTATTGGCATACTGCATACAGCGTAAGAATTCAGAAAAGGATGTATAATAACATCTTTCATTTTCTTGTTGCATAAACGTTATTTTGTATTCATTTCTTGTACAGACCTTGCTTAAGTCCTTATGTTTGGTTTAGTTAAAGTTAATACATCACTTTATTTTTGTCAAAACCATTCTTATGTAACTAGTATTATTATCCTTTTTATTACTGAAGGGTGGGCTTTTTTAATATTCTCTTTGTCATTCAACTAAGTATTGTCAATGGAAATCTTGGTCAAATCATCATCTTCTTTATTTTTTTTCCTGCTTTATGTTCCTAGAATAATACAATTAATAATCCTTATTTATATATCAAGTTAAAAGCAAGGTATTATTTATAATCTAACATCATCAAATACTTATTATCCCAGGCTTATGTATGGTTTCTTCAAAATTATAACTTACACATGTACATTTGTTCTTTCTTTCATTACTCCTCCTTTAATATCCTTTATGTCATACTTATTACAAGTTGGAGGATGACCTGAAAGGCATTTGTATCTAATCAGCAGCTTTACGTAAATGATGCATTTCTATTTTGTAAGCAGATCGACACAAAACACAAGATTTTCCAGAAGATAGTTTGGGTAAGTTTATTACTTCATTCTTTAATCAATTAAAAATATTATTATCGATCTAATTTGTACTCTCGTTATTTTATTTAGAACAATCTATATGATTATTTTTACCTTTTTACCTTTATCTACTTTTTGATTTACAGGTTGTATAGCTAAATGTGATAGAACTTTTTTTGATAATGTTGATTCAGTTGTGACTTGTATTGATATTACTCACCTTAACTCTATATTTTTGATAACTTGCATGTGTTAATGTCCCCACATAGCATCTGAACCAACATCGTGTTTTCATATTCTTTTCTTTGTATATTTTTGAATTACTCAGAATTAAACTGAGATTCATCCATTATGAATGGATTGCTCTACCATTGAGCTATTATTTATTCTATTGTAGTAGATAGATCTGAATTACATGAGCTTTTGATTTTACCATTACATTATACTGCATTTGTTATTTAGTTCTTTCTTCCTTCAAGACATAGTAAGAGTTGAACTTACATTTATATTTCCAAGGAATAATACCCTAACCATTGTGTTATATGTCAGTCTCCCTTTATCTCGGATAGCCAGCGAATTGAACGCTGATAGCTTTAACAATTACGTAGCAAGAAATCTAGTTTATCAAGCCAAACTATCCTTTCTTTCTCGCATTTCATCAGACTCCAACTCTTCATAAATCTTTGCCTTTGAGCTACCAATGCCTATTCTATTCTCTCTCGCCTCTCTATTCTCTATTCTATTCTGAGCTGATATGATTCGAACATATAAAAGCCTATCAAGGGGACTTACCTATTAGTCTACTACTCATTCATATCATAGAACCTTTACTATTTATAACATACCTATACATTCCTGCCCCTTCAGCTTTATCGGACCTGTAGCATACTTCTGGGGGCTAATAATAAGATAGATAGATCCGTAAATATCAAACAATACAACGATTAAGTGAATTAATTGATGGGTTGTGCTTGTGTGCTGGCGTATGCTGGTTATTATGTCTGGGGGAGCTCGGAACTACCGTGGGTTCTATGCCCAACTCCGCAAGTCTTACGGTTTCTCGAGCCGCATCTGCAACGACTTGCACACATTGTTGCTGACAATGCCGTTGCTGTGCTTAGCCTCTGTAGGCTTGAGAACTCTGATAATCGGGTGGCTTTGGCCAGCTTTCAATGCATTTGATCTATCAGCGTCACAATGTTGCTCGCCTTTGGCAAGAGAACATAATAAAAAACAAAAGACGTCTCCCACTTCCACAGGCCCTCTGATGCCTCCTGCACCTGATTATCAACGTTTATTTCACGACAAAGTGTTTTTTTTTTTGGGGCCTCGTAAAAATGTGATGTGCCTGAGGCTGAGGGTATGTTCCACTATAGCGGCGGCCAAAGCATTTCTGGATATATCTTATTACAGTCTACCTCACTATAGATCAACAAATACAAGTCTCGAATCGTGGCTCGGCTCCGAGAACTGCCTTGGGCCCGGGCTTTGAATTGACAGTGGCTTAGGTTTACTCTTATCAAAATCAGTTTGCATGTTTGACTGATTTTACAGCGACAATTTCCATCTCTAGTGTAACTTTCATTCGTTATCGCCATCCACACCAGTTGATTATGCCTGTTCTCTACACTCCGCGTAAGTAAAATTTCACTCGAAAGTGTCATTATCACTGCACAATTATGTTGGTATCCCTGCATTGTTTGTTTAGCATTTATTTATACCTTCTTATACCTTTTTTAGGTCATTGAAGCTTTGCTTTAGTACCAGTCATCATATTGTATTGTGTGTTATATACTACTATAGGAACATTTTGACTTTTCATTATAATTCACATCGATGTGTTATCTGAATTATTTCTTATTATCCACTATTTCATCATTTTACTAGCTACAGAACCTTCTCTATTTGTATAAACATTGTCTTCTCCAGCGACTCTTTCTCAGAGAATTCTTTTACAAGCTAAAACTCTAATGTTTAGTCGTATTCAAACTATAGTACTTCCAATACTGTCACACGTGTTTGATTCGCGTTTGCCACATAAAATCAAACAAACTAACGTAAAAACAAACAAATAATTATCAAATATGAGAGATATCGAATAGTAAAATTATGAATAGCTCTTCAAATCATCGTGGACAAGTACATCCACGCCACTTTCGGGCATGTACTCTAAATGCTTTGTTATCATCATTAATCGGCGGGCATGCTTTCGTATGGCCTCCCCCAATTTTTGGCCTCAATGATTTCACTTCTTTATAGAGCTCGAGATCAAGTGACGTGTATGTTAGTTCACGTCAATCACCTGATGGACGCGGGTGTTCATCTGAGGCTTGCTTTTTATTAATCTATGAAGCCCCTCTGAAGAGAAATTTTCTAGCATAAAACTTAATTTGGTTCTGTACGATGGATTCATGTCTGCACCATTTTATGAAGTTTAGAAAAGAAAAAAAATTGTAAAATGGGCGTATTTCGTGCATCCTGAGATCGAATAGCATACACCCGTCGTCATGACTCTGAAAACATGGATCTGCATATTGCGGTAGAGGCTAAAATGTGTTAAAACCAATCGAAAGTACTGCGGATGTCTTTGATTAGAAAGGTTTAATTAAGAAATTATGATTCGCATCTGAGCTCACGCAGATTGTCCACCTGCTGTCCTCTCATCTTCAATCACAGATTTGACTGCTTCGTCTAAGTTGTATATACCCAGAATACTTTTTATATTAGAATTTCAGGATAAGCCAGGCACAAACTACTCCACAACATCCATTTCCTTGCTCGATAGCTCTTCTTTGATATGCATTTTGAAACGGGCCCCTACAGTATCGGCAGTTTCTGGGGGATGATTCCATTGTTTGAGGAGTCTATTAGACACAAGGAAGGTTGGTGAAAATTGCACGTGATATCGGGGATATTGTACATGCCACGGATTGAAACCCGGTTAACTGAAACTCGGTTGATTAGATGGAAGAGCCTTATCACATGAGAGTGAATCACTCTGAATTCGTTTTGTCACTACCTTGAACCTCCAGTAATGAGAATTTGTATATACATTCTATTATTTCCCTGTTTTACGATAGATTATATCGTAAAAGGAGCAAAACATTTTTTTTCGTAGGTTCATCTGACAAAATGAACAAAACTATACAACAATCCATGAAAAAACCTTTAAAGAGCCCGCAGACATTAAATAAAAATGCGAGTCGTCGAAAAGGGCTTTTTTTCGCGTCATGCAATCTATATCTACTGAGCAAGGTTATACCTTGAAGTATCAGCTAGTATCCAGCGTCTTGTATCAATAAACTAAAAGCGCCTTTAAATTATTATGAAACAGCCTGGAGCTGTCTCTTAAACTACGAGTAGATCGGTTTATAGATAGTTCAGCCTTAGTGGATAGGCCTAGTCTATCTGTCGTATTCTCGATGTCTAAAAAGTGTTATCCTTCTTCAGGGATGTCTCAGCCTCACGCTCCTTTATAGTTCGGAACCCTTCTATACAGTAGGTGAGGGGTAACCCCGATCAGGAATGTTTAGACTCTTCGTCCTTCGTATTATACAGGATGCCACGAATCTATAAT